CTCCTCCTCCTCCTTCTCATCCTCCTCCTCCTCCTCCTCCTCCTTCTCATCCTCCTCCTCCTCCTCCTCATCCTTCTCATCCTCCTCTCCCTCCTCATCCTCCTTCTCCTCCTGTTCCTCCTCCTCCTCCTCCCCTTCCTCCTCCTCCTCACCATGTGCATCCCGGCGATGGTGTCGGCTCCGTACTCGGACACCATCACAGGTTTCCCCGACACGTTCCTCCACTCCTCGATGCAGGCGAGAAGCTGCCGGCCGATCAGCTGCGCGCGCCCCGGGTCCGAGTACCAGCCGAAGTAGCGATTCACCATGACGACGTCGAGATGCTGATGCTGCAGGAAGAAACAAGCGCACACACAGAGGGCGCTGTCGTCAGCGCGTGGCGGCAGGACGGGCGATGTGACGAACGCGGCGCGAAACTAACGACGCGGAAACGCGCTGCGACGACGATGACGCCGCACGTCTCTAGATTTTACCCGCCTTCGAAAATTTGTCGAATTCGTTTGTCAAGTCATGCCTCTAGCTGCCATGAGCAAAGGGAAAGCTTTTTCGGGGCGGCCACGCCCGGGCGGTGTGTCACGTCGCGACGCGTGCACACGGAGAGTCGTTAGCACTCACAGCAACATCCTTCGCTGCGGCCGAACTCAGAGCTATGGTCAGCGGTCGGCGCGAGACGTCCAGGCTCCGCGCTCGCTCCGCCACGGCCCTGGAATGGTTAGAGGTGGGTCAGACGACCGGTGCGCTCACACCGGCACACGTTTGCGCAGGTACAAGCCACGAGAGCGGCTGGGTTCCACGCATGGTCACACACATGGCGCGAGAGCCAAGCAAGGCAATACGCTCACGACGGGCAGAAAAGTATCCGAGCGCAAAATCCTCACGCGAAACTCTGTCTGCGGACACGGGAGCGTGCAACGAAGTGCGGAAAGGTTGACATTTTGGAATCCGAAATATCAAAACGAACGCGCAAACTTCATTAGTTTGACCAGCCTAGCAATAACAGCAGAGGTGGCGTTTGGTTATTTTGCTCAGACAGATAAAGCGGTGAACATACGTCACTCATCGTTTGTGGTGTGGGCAACATGTTTGTGGTAAACCCAGCGATTGGGTGTGTGACGAACCAACACATACTTGAAGTAGTCGTTAGACACCGCCAGGTTAGAGCTGGGTTCGTTGGCGATAGACCACATGACGACGGACGGACGATTCTTGTCCCGTCGAATAAGTTCTTCGATCACCACCAGATGGTGCTGCAGTGTCTGCTTGGCGAAATTCTCCTTACTGAAACAGATTGTAACTTTCTTTTGCAACGAAAACAGGAGATGAACAGGAGATCATCAACGAAAGACCCTTTATTAAACCCCAGCGACCAATTTGCTACTGCCAGCCGCTACCAGAAAACACATTTTCCTCAATAGCTTGACTACAAACCAGACATGCTAGCATTGAAGATATGGCTACCTACGACAACATCTG